ACTGGTGTTAAAAAGTACTCAAGTAAAAGTACAAATTACTCTTCGTAAAAACTACTCAAATTACAAAATTACAAATTACTTTTTTAGCTTGGCGGTATTGGTGGAATTATCCATAAATGCGGAGTCAGACAAGATCCAGGCAGTAACACATTTTACATAACACATTTAAAGATACTATAAACACTTTTAAAACTGTGTAAACAGCATTAATTATAGATAATAATTATAGAGCACCTATAGAGGAAACCCACGCCAACATGGGGAAAACATGCAAACTCCACACAGAAACACCAACTGACTCAGCCAGGGCTTGAACCAACAAACTTTTTACTTTTACTTTTTTCTTTTTACTATAACAGAAATATGCACAAATGCACGACTTTTTATCATTTCAACTGATGCCTCTTTTATCTGTACGATCAATAGATGATGTAATAAATAAAAAAAAACACTTGCAAATTATGGAGAAACTTTGTTAATTACCTAATTCGCGAACTGAACCGTCAGAAACCACAGAACAACACTGCCTAGTGCCTAAACATATTATTAATAAATATAATATCACACAAATTAAGTTATGTCTTCTTACCATAATGTTTTTTTTTTTAGATTATAGATTGAAGTCTTAAAAAAAAGGGTTTCTGCAGATATCATAATGTCAAATTTAAGACTTTTTAAGACCTCTTTAAGACCATAAAGTATTAAATTTAAGACCTATATCACAATATCAAAAGCATGCAAGAGAAAATGCAAAAACACAAAATTTGTGGTAAAATAAAATTATTTAAATAGAACAGTACTGAAGACAGGTTAGATGCACCATTGAAGTGCAGGAACAAAAAAACAAAGAAACAAACATTTTGAGGCTGATTTATACTTTCGCCTGGCTCCGCATTGCACACCTCCGCTGACTGTGCGCACTTCACGAAATGGATGAGGCTTTAATACTAGACGTGTTCGTCATTGTGATATTCTTTAAAACATCAGGGGCCAGTCAAAAGAAACCTCACTGTAAAGTCAGACGGATAAACAGAGAAGTAAAACGTTTTCAGAACTACGTCATATCTTTATTATTGTTCAAGATTTTAAAAATAATTATTTTTCATTATTTTTATAATTTATTATGATTACAAAGTTGGGTGACGGGGTGGGGCAGTGGGTAGCGCTCTCGACTCAAGGCAAAAAGGTCGCTGGTTCAAGCCTTGGCTGGGTCAGTTGGCATTTCTGTGTGAAGTTTGCATGTTCTCCGATTGTTTGCGTGGGTTTGCTCAAGATGCTCCGGTTTTCCCCACAGTCCAAAGACATGCATTTTAGGTGAATTAGGTAAGCTAAATTGTCTGTTGTTGTAAATGAGAACGGGTTGCAGCTGGAAGGGCATCCGCTGTGTAAAACATATGCTAATAAATCATTCGGTTCATTCCGCTGTGGCGACCCCAGATTAATAAAGGAACTAAGCCAAAAAGAAAATTAATGAATGATTATAAAGTTTTATAACTATTCAAGATTTTTTTAATTAGAGTTTGATGCATCACTCACTTGTGTTTATATCTCAGACAGTTCTACCTATTAAAGTTAAATATCAATGACAACAGAACATGGGTTACTCTACAATTATTTTTTTTATTCTGGCAAGAATAATAGCAAAAAAATATATATATTATTTTTTGCCCACTCAACAATTGACACATTATTGTCTGGCTAGTTTCTGTCCTCTACTAATGAGCTGAAAAGGCAATAATGGTCCAACAATCCTGTCTATTATCACCAATAAAGCCTATAAATTAAGCTTGAGTACACTGTAAGCCGATGGGCTCATATATTCTTTTCCAGTTATCAAATACTTAATTTGTTACTTAATTTTTTTTACATTGCTTTAACTTCAAAATGATACATCAGTTTAAAACCAATAAATGGTGAAAAAACATATTCTGTAATCTTAAAACCACCTGGGTCTCCACTTTTGCCATGGCCTCTTTTTTGTTGTAACAAACTTATCCCCTAGGTTTTTCCCAACTTTAACAAAACACTTCCTTTCCATGGCTGTTGCAATTTCTAGCCAAGAATTATTGGTCATCTGGTCATCTCTATGCTGATCACGCATGGTTGGATAGTTAAGATGTCTGTACATTCGTACTGTTACAGTCAAAATCTCTTCAAAGTGATTCAAATTCAACTCAAATCAAGCGCGGCGCCGCGCGAAACTGTTCACCCGAAATCATGTCGCGCGCGTCCAAAGTGAACCTCCGCAAACACGGCGATGACGTCACATTCGCCGCGCGCACTGAGCTATTGCATGCTGGTCTTTTCTTATTTGTAGTTTTAATACAGCAAATTAAAATAGGAATAGTGAAATAAAGAACTACACCACCACGAAACCAAGCAACAACAAAAAAATTAAATGAGCATTAGGAGTAGCGTTACATGTACATCGGAAAAATAAGACCTGTGCAAACATATTTCAGACCTGGAACAGCGAATTTGAGACTTTTTAAGGCCTAAAATTTAGATGTTTATATTTTAGACATTTTAAGACCCCACGGAAACCCTGTGTAAGCCGGATGGTACAGCAGAGGGCAGGTTTCATCCACCTTTTTTTGCGCTTTTTGGATATGCACATAAAAACGGTTGATCGAAACGCTATAATGCGCATATATTTTGAAAATGTGTGTGAATGGACAAACCAGCAGGCTAAGCACATTGTAAAACATCTAAAGTGTTGTTTTGGTCATTTTAAACCGCCTCAACCATTTCAGTATTATATTATATTAATAATGACCTCCAGAACTGTCAAGAGTGCCTGCACTCCGTGTCTCGCGCCTTCCAGCGCGCGTTCACTGCGTGCAGGATTGCCTTCTGATGCGCAAGTCACTTATTAAATGAAGATAATTTATTCATGCAGCTGCTCCTACTGATGCTAATTCTGTTTTTACTTTTGATATTTGTCGCCAGTTAATCAGGTGGCAATTTTGTTTGACTTGTTGGACAGAAACGCTGCTTTATTTGCAGTCTTTTATGCGATATTCCAGTTTTGGGCATACATTTAATTAGCATTTTAGATGATACCATAGCTAATCACATCAGCACAGCTGTCCCCTTTTTTCCCTATGTACCTGTAGGTGAACAGCTCCTCCAGGTGTGGCAATGGGCATTCATCCTCTGCTATTTCTTCCTCATTTCTTCTGTCTTAAATCTCCATATGTAATTGATAACTTTGTGACTGTATGATGACGGTCACGTAAATCTGCAGTAGCCTGAACTTGTTTTTCGGTTCAAATAATGTACCAGGCTTTTCATTGGTCCGTTAAGATCAGCTTTTTTTATTGGCTACCGAAATGCTGGTCAGTGCGTGGCTGAAATATTAATTTATTTACAGTACTCTGTAACGAATTGTGATTTTAAAAGTAACGAAGTAGATTACTCAGCTTAATTTTTACTCAAGTACAAGTAAAATTACAGGCTTAAAATTCTACTCATGAAAGTACAATTACCCCAAAAATGTACTTAATTACAGTAACGTGAGTAGTTGTAATTCGTTACTCCCACCACTGCCCCACACCTATACCGAACAGCACCTTATTAACTATGAATGGGGAGCAAATTAGACGTTTATGTTAGCTAGTTAATAGTTTGAATTAGAGCCCAAACTAAAGTGTAAATAAACTTATAAATAACTAATAATACCCGGTGGACCCCTTTCACCCTGCGGCCCATCAGGTCCAGGTGGTCCAGCTTTACCAGGTGGTCCCTGCACACTCACTCCTGTAAGCAAGAGCAAAAATGTCATGTATTAAGGAAGAACTGAAATGAACAACAAGCTCATGCTCTCTCGCTCATCAATCCCAGACACAAACCTGGCTCTCCCTTCTCTCCTTTGGGTCCAGTGGCTCCATCTCTTCCGTCTTTCCCGTCTCTGCCAGGCAGACCATTGTGTCCCGGAACACCAGGAACTCCAGCATATATAGGACAGTTCAGGGTTTGAGGCTCAGCAGCTCCGACCAATACGTGCAGAACAAGCTGAAGGAGCAGAAAAACCCCGAGGAACAGCTTCAACAGCGCCATCTGCTGGGACAAACAGGAAAACTCACAGAACTTATCCTCAACCTGTAAAAGACGACTCGTTTGTTAAGTTTAGTGGAAATTAAATCCTTCAACTTAAGGTACCGCAGATAAATATGGGGTTAAACTTTTGGAAGATAAATTACCGTGTATATTATTAGCATATAAGCGGTATTACAATGTATACAGTACAGTTCTGCACGATTATATTGCTTATCATGCCTAAACAAAACTACAACCTTGCCGCCTTACCATGCAGAAGGAGTCTATTATTGAAAAACTTATAATTAGTGATTATGTCTTCTTTAAGAATAATATTATCGAAATGTTTGGTATGAAAATGGTACCGCCTCAGAAAGGTGTGACTGCCATGCCAATGGAGTAAACAGGACCCTCACCCCCCAATACGGATAAAAAAAGATGGGCCAAATGACATTTTAAAATTAAATTACCATTCATTAAAAAATTCTTGACTGATTAAGACTGATTTAATTTTTGATTAATGAATTTTCCAAAAGTTCTTCATTTGGTCCAGCTGGGAGTCCATCGTTATGCTTCTTTGCTGGATAACAGTTTGCAGTTCTCCATTTCTGTCATTTTTAATTCTTTCATTTATTTACTGATATTTTAAGATAATGTTCAGGACAGGTACTTACCAGTTTAATAAAGGAGCCAATGTGTAGCAAGTCTGATTGGCGAGGAGGGTCGTCTGGTTTAAAATCTGTATGCCTGTTGTTGTGAATCTTGCATTGTAAAAAAAACTCTCTTCCCCTCAGGATATTCCACCCATACAATGCACAATGTGTTTTAGGGTGTGTTTGTTTTTTTCACCCAACCTCCCATATTTTTACAACCTGGTTAACTGTTTATTATACATTAAAGATCATGTGCCAAATACTTTTTTAGATGCATATTATAATCACCCATGAACTGTACACATTGTTGTTTGCATAACATTCGGTGCATTTATTTTTTGTTATGTATATTAAATGTATCATTTTACATTCTGAAGAATGCTTCACACTCAAATATAAACTATTTGTAAAGCATATAGGTTGTTTAAAAAACCTTAATACGGAATTTCTGCATTCTCATTTCATGCAAATATGGTAGAGTTACTACTTGATGTCTATTTCACATATAATAGGACGTATGTCACCACAATTTCCATCATCCCAAGTGCCAGAAACATCTATTACACCACAGTCTTGTGCTCCCTGATAATCATCAGGCTGACCTGGTCCCCATTTGGTAAATGTTAGTTGCTTCCCCTCAATGTCTACAAACTGTCCTTCTGTTTCTTTGTCTGTGACTCCAATATATGGCTTCTCATTAATTAAACCACTCGATGCTGCCACCCTGACTAAAGCTTGATTTTCTGCAGAACTTTTTGGCACAACCAATGTTCCACTAGAGCTCTCGCAGAGTTTTATGCCATTATCGAACGTTCCAAAAATACGATCAGTGACGTAATATTTCTGTCCAACTTTCCTGAAGTTGCTGAAACTCGCAGCTTTCTCAATTGTGTCAATCTTGGCTTTAAGATTCTGGATCTCAGACTTCAGGGACTCAATAACACTTTCACTTCCAGGAGACCCTGAATGAAGAGTATTTATGTTAGATAGGTTGTAAACACACTTAATGTTCATGCACAATTATATATGCTGAAAACCTCAAAATTCACTTGATAAATTTTGGTAATGCTTTACTTTGAAGACAAATTCTTACTGAAATTACGGGGGGTTTCTGGGAGAAATAACAAAATGGGAGGTTGGCAGGAAATGGGTCTGAAATACAGGAAACTCCCGGGAAAAACGGGAGTGTAGGCAGGTGTGAGACACTCTGCACTTTGACTACTTCAATATTGTTGATAAGCTGTGGTCGGCATTTCTTTCTGTCTTGGACTGAACGCTGTCGACCAATCGCAACAGATTGTCATTGGTCCAATCAGCGCAGATTAGCTTCAAACTAGGAGAGGTTTGGGAACCAATGAATCCCTGAACAATTCATATAGAAGCTGTTGAGATAAATACTGTAAAAATAAAAGCATATTATAGGACAATAAAAGTGTTTTTGACCTTGCATTATGTATATCAGCCTGTTGTTGGAGACCCCCAAAACCAAAATAGGACCCTTTTTAATATATAATAAGGGCTCTTTAAATAATGGCTAATTAGCAGAATATACAAAAAATAAATAAAAAATAGTTTCAGATCCCTCAATACTACCCCAAACCTAAACACAGCAGCACCTTATTAATTATTAATAGGGAGCAAATTACTTTACTATAGTTATTTAATAGTCTAAAATAATGCCTAAACTAAAGTATAAATACAATTTTAAACTACAATAACTAATAATACCTGGTGGACCGCTTTCACCCTGGGCTCCATCAGGTCCAGGTGGTCCAGCTTTACCAGGAGGTCCCTGCACACTCACTCCTACAAGCAAAGAGCAAAAATGTCATGAATTAAGGAAGAACTGAAATGAACAACAAGCTCATGCTCTCTCGCTCATCAATCCCAGACACAAACCTGGCTCTCCCTTCTCTCCTTTGGGTCCAGTGACTCCATCTCTTCCGTCTCTGCCGTCTCTGCCAGGCAGACCATTGTGTCCAGGAGTGCCTGGAACTCCAGCATAAGCAGGACAGTTCAAGGTTTGAGGGTCAGCAGCTCCGGCTAGGAGCTGCAGAACAAGCTGAAGGAGCAGAAGAGCCCCGAGGAACAGCTTCAACAGCGCCATCTGCTGGAACAAAGAGTGATGGGTGTTTTTCAACAGTTTTGGACAACTTTAATGAATGCTTGATTCACTTCAAATGCTTACTACTGTACACGAAGCAACAATGTTTTTTAAATTCATAGACGTTCACTAGAGATTATTATTTTCTATTATAAACTCGTTAAACAGCCTACAATACAAAACACAGTATAAAATGTTTCGTTGTTTATCACACATTAGTACAAAAATGTCAGCATCACTGCTACCGTACGTACTGCTTCAATGGAGAGTCGCTCCTTTAGTGAACGTACAAATACTACAAAACTAAAATTTCCGACGTGACTTGAGAAAGGAGTTTTCTTGCTGTAGACGCCGCGCCTCCAAGCATGTATTCGAGTCATTACGGTAACAGTAGCTATGACAGGTGAGGAAGTTGTCGAGTTTCAGTCGTCAACAGCTCACCGGTTTACTTCATTGTACACTAATAATACATGGTCGCAAAGCGTTAAAGGTAAGTTTTTGCCTTTATTTTTTTAGTCACGTCGTAATGAGTGTTTACAGTAACGGCCACGTTAACGTCAACAATTTCTGCATTGTCAGACATGCGTCAGACTGTTTATGTTTATAAATCTGTCGTGTGTCAGATTTTACAATCATACTTTACTGAACAAGTTCTTTTTTGTGCGTAAATATATCTCACATTAAATGATGGCGTCCTATGCGGCCATATGGAACTGACATTGCGAGATAGAAATTATATTATTTTTCATTCATATCTCAGATAAGAAAGGGGACTTTGTCCGTCATTCAGTCTGTCAACCTTAAATGTCCTGCGAATAAAACTTTATAGGCAGTTCATCTTTAGAGAAATACCCACTTTACGTTAAGGGCGTCACATAGTCACTGAGGGAAATTTATAGACTTTATTCATACCTCTAATAAAATAAACTCGGTGAAAAGGCAGGAATAATTGGAGGTAGTTTGATTGTCCTGCTGTGCCTACAGTACGTTTGTTGTTTGCATAAGACACACCTAGAGTAGGCTTGTCAGTGCCATTGATTCTGAACTGTCACCATCTTTAGACAGAAAATCTGTCAGCTTATGCTGTCAATGTTGATAGATTAGTATTTGTTTTTTCTGGTGTAACTTTATGTATAAAAGCTTTGACATATTGCTATGGCAGTTAGCATAAATACGTGAGCATAACTCAGCAACAGTGCTGGTTAGTAAGTGAATACTTGTAATGTGTTTTTTGTATATGTAAATTAATATGGCAGTAACATAGCTTCAGGTTTGCATATTTTTTAAATATCAGCATGACATTGAGGTAAACGATAATAAATGTAATATTTTTTTAAATATTTATATATATATATATATATATATATATATATATATATATATATATATATATATATATTTATATTTATATGTAATTTACACTTATGGGACTAAGCTGAAGAAAAGTGAGTGAGTGAGTGATTTAATTAGTTATCTTATCAACTCCCAAACCCTTCTCAAACAGTGTTGGGTAAGATTGTAAGGTGCTTCAAAAAAGTAAATAATCATTGATTGAACAATCAATTGTGTTTAGTTTTCCGATTACTTTGTCTAAAATGTCACTTGATTACTCAGTAAGCAGTTTTATTACTTGATTCAATACTATTTAAAATTTGTACAGAATACATCCAGAATCATCCAGAATACAAATTAAACGTTAACAGTTGAAGTTAGAATTTTTAGCCTCCTGTTTATTTTTCACCCAATTTCTGCTTAATGGAGAAAAGATTTTATATTTTCCAAGACACTTCTATACAGCTTAAAGTGACATTTAAAGACTTAAATAGGTTAATTAGGTTAACCAGGCAGGATAGGGTAATTAGGTAATTTATTGTATAACTTTTTTTTTTATTCTGTGGACTATAGAAAAAAATATATAGCTTAAAGAGGCTAATAATTATGACCTTAAAATGGCTTTTAAAATCTGTTTTTATTCTAGCCAAAATAAAACTAATAAGACTTTCTCTTAAGAAAAATATTATCAGACATACTGTGAAAATTTCCTTGCTCTAATAAACATGATGAAGCGTTTAGATGCAAAAACTTCAAAAACAAAATGCCGTCTGAAATTTTCCTCTAAAATTAGCATTTTTTTATTAGGCTCCTGTGTGTATGTTCAGTAATATAACTTTTATGGCATAGAATAGGTTCTTTTCCTGGCCTTTAAATGCAAAACCCCCTAGAGTTCTTCTCAAATCAGCCATTTTTTATACTTCTGTGTGCATATTTAGTAAAGTTAATTTTTTGGCAAAGGACAGATTATTTTCATTGCCTTTAAAGTAAAATAGCTGACTATAAACATACATAGGGGGCTAAAAATGCTCATATATCTTATATTGAATGCTGTCCATATATCTTGTATTGTATTGTATTTATTTATTTATTTATTCATTTTTAATTTCAGGGGGACTTTTAGCTTAAAAAAGTAACAAGCAATGTTAAACATATGTATCAAAACTTAAAGTTTTTTAAAGTACTAATGAAATCATATTTTATACTGAATATTTCATATTGACATTTAATTTCTTTCTCAATTCATTGTTTCTTAAAAATTAGTGATCATCTGACAAATTTAACCTTCTTTAGTTATTCTGCCAATATATTTGTATAACAAATATATATTTACTCTGATTTATATAGAGCTGTTGATTCATGCACCATATTTTAGGCAAGTATATTTAAAGTAACTGTAATTAAACCTAAAAATTAAAAGTAATCCCCTACTTTATGAAGAAGTCATTTCAATACTGTAAATAATCACACTCAACACTCATCTAAAACAATCACTTTGAGGAAATGTGACACGTGATGTTTATTGTAGTTAGCCAGACATTTCATTTTTCACAAAAGTTATTTGGAACATTAAAGGAGACCCTTTATTTATGTATGCAGTCTATGTAAATAAATGTAAATAATTTCCCTTTGAAGCACACATTCCTACTCCATGTTTCTGCCTTCTTCAGCTAAGCAGTCATGAAGGCTCCGGCTCTCCTTCAGTCCGATCTGAAGGTAAATACGGACATCAGACTACAGCAAATTTGCCACAGTCCCCGGCTGGAAAACCGCATTTTGGCTCAAGCAGCCTCAGCATTGTCTCACCATCAGTATGCAGCTCCATCCTGGGCCAGTCAGACCTGCATCTCCTCAGCATGTCCAGCTCTCCAGCCAACCAGCCTGTCCTCAACCAGGTCTTCCTCGTCCCTTCTGTCCTCCACAACGATGAGCTCTATCTCCTCTGATTCGTCCCTGCTGAGCACCAAAAACACCCTTCTGATAGAGCCCCGACTCCACCTTCCAGCCTCATCCTCTCTCACCTCCACCTGCTCCCAGAATCCTCTACTTTATTGCTCTAAAATGTCCACAGCCAGCATCATCCCAAATATCTGCTCCTATCCGTCAACTTCAGCGGAGGATAAAGTGAGCTCACATGAAAAGAGAGAAGAGGAAGGCATACTTTTATCAACCGAAGGCCTGCTGGGAAATAGAGAGGAGCCCAAACAGGTATAAAGTGATTTCTTCCATGGTGATTTGTAAAATTGTTTGCGAATATTTCAGCACTGTCTTTATTGATTTTAGGAAGCGTAACTAACAAAAGAATAAAAAACAAAAATAGTAATTATAATAAACAAAATTGGAATATATACAGTGCTTAGCATAATTGAGTACACCTCATTTTAAAACTGAATATTTTTATCCATTTCTCAGTGAATATAGGCAATGTATTTAGGTGCATTTAAACAAAACCGATTTATTAAACAGATATATTCATTAAAATAATGTTTTAATCACTTAACATATTTAGACATTGAAAGATAATACAATTAAATTCATGCTGAATTTTACATAAAAAATTACAACCTACAAAATTCACACTAAAGTTTTACTTTTTTGCTCCTCTTGATTTTGCCTCCTTTAAAAAATTGCATTTAATATAATTCTATAGCATATACATTTGGGTTTACTAGTTTTTGGACTGTGATCGTAGGTTATTTATCGTTTATCTTTATTTATCGTAGGTTAGTTAGATAAGCTCCAGATTTGGCTTCAGTACTGACTGATCTAATGTATATGCACAAATATAATATCGTATAGCTTACTTTAAAAAATATGAATTTAAAAGAGAGATTTGTGAGGGGTGTACTTATATATGCTGAGCATTGCATATATAATACAACTATGATATATATAATATACGTACAGCAAGAAATATAGAAATACACACCTGTATATTGATACTTATATTCATAGACACATGTGTAAATATATAAGGATTCTTCAAAAACTTATTCTTTTCTTCGCAAAACTCTTTTAAGTTTTCCCTAAATAAATATATGATATTTTTTTTTCAAAGCAAAACACAGAAACAATCTTTGAAACTATTGTTTAAAGGGCACCTATGATGAAAATCAACTTTTGTAAGCTGTTTGGATAGAACTGTCTCTATGTATAGTGTGCCCACTGTAAAATTTGAGTAATATAAACTCAACAAGTCTCATTTTTATAATTCAATCACGGAATTAAAATAGGACCCAAATCCCAGTGATTTTGAGGCCCACCGCAACGTGACAGGGTAGTGCTTTTTTTCCTCTGCCCACAGAATTGATGAACAGGCACATTTAAAAATGTATTTACAATAGAGCATGTTTGTTCAGCATTTGTGGGAGACTCATCATTTCAGAAAGGCTTGAATAAACGAAATAAACTTACTTGGTATTTTTGACTAATGAGATGAATTTCAGCTTCATACGAGTCTGTCTCTATCACTGACCGACATAACGCATGATTAGAAGCAGACACGCATGTGGGAATGGTGTGTGGAGAAAAGCAGATTATTTGAATTTAAAGCCACAGGCTACAAAAACAGCTACAACGTATTCAGACACCAAAATAGGCAGAATCTGCAGGCTATAATAAATAATCTAATGGGTATTTTAAGCTGAAACTTAACAGACACATTCTGAAGACACCAAAGGCTTATCTTACATCTTGTACAAGGGGTAAAATAGGTGCCCTTTAAAAATGTCTTTCTTTGTTTGTCCAATGGAGAGCTAGTCATGTGTTAAATCTTTAATTGTTTAAAAAATTGGTTCTCCATGAACTAACTGATGCATTGCTTGTATGCAAATCCTCTTAATTTTATTATGTCTTACTTAGCAGGATGCCCTCAGGATGTCTTCGCAGGAAAGCTTGGATGGGGATGACCAGATGCTGTCGTCTGAAGCGGCTGTTTTGGATATGGATGTAGATGGAGTGGGGGAGCAGACTGTGGCCCTTCGTGAGGAGTTTGGAGATCTTGAAGTAAGCAAAGAGGAGAAACTTGCTGAACTGAAGGACCGGAAGGTGAGCTGAATGAACACATTTATTCTTTAGCTTGATGTGTGTCTATGTTTTGGTGATTAGACACTCAGCACAATTATAAATGTTGAATCGTAAGTGTTTTTCACAATTAT